TAAATTGAAAAGTTTTTGCACAAACAAAGCCAATGTAAGCAAGATTAGAAGGAAAGTAGAAAATTGGGAAAGAATTTATATAACCAGTCTCTCTGATAAGGGCCTCATTTCTAAAATATATAGAGGATTAAGTCAATTTTATAAGAATACAAGCCATTCCACAATTGATAAATGGTCAAAGGATATGAACAGACAGTTCTCAGATGCAGAAATTATATATTAGTCATATGAAAAAAATGCTATAAATCACTATTGATTAGAGAAATGCAAATCAAAACAACTCTGATGTACCACATCACACCTATCAGATTGGCCAACATGATAAAACAGGAAAATGATAAATATTGGAGAAGATGTGGTACAATTGGAACACTAATGCATTGTTGGTGGAGTTGTGAAATGTTCCAACTATTTTGGAGAGCAATTTGGAACTATGCCCAAAGGGCTATAAAAATGTGCATACCCTTTGACCCAGCAATAGCACTTCTAGGGCTATATCCCAGAGAGATCATTCAAATGGGAAAAGGACCCACATGTACAAAACTATTTATAGCAGCTCTTTTTGTGGTGGCAAAGAATTGGAAGTTGAGAGGATGCCCATCAACTGGGGAATTGCTGAACAAGTTGTAGTATATGAATGTAATGGAATACTATTGTGCTATAAGAAATGATGAACAGGCTGACTTCAGAAAAACCTGGAAAGACTTGTATGGTCTGATGCTGAGTGAAGTGAGCAGAACCAGGAGAACATTGTACACAATAACAGCCATGTTGTGCGATGACTAATATTGATAAACTTCACCCTTCTCAGCAATACAAGGATCTAAGACATCTCCAAAGACCTCATGATGGAAAATGCTATCCACAAAGAAGAAAGAACTATGGAGTTTCAATGCATATCAAAGCATACCATTTGCTATTTTTTTTCTTCTGTTGTGTTTTCTTTCCTCTTTCTGGTGGTTCCTCCTATTGGTTCTAATTCTTACTTACAACATCACTAATGTGAAAATATGTTTAATAGGAACGTACATGTAGAGCCTATATCAGATTGCGCACCGCCTTGGGGAGGGAGGTGGGGAGGAAGGGAGAGAAAAATTTAAAACTCAAAAGCTTATGGAAGTGATTGTTGATAATTCAGAATAAATTGATAAAAAAAAAAGAAAAGAAAAAACAACTGACCTGGAAAACAGATCCAGGAGACATAAATTTAAAATTAATAGACTACCTGGGAGCCATAATAAAAAAAGAGCCCAGACACTGTCTTTTAAGAAATTATCAAGGAAAACTGCCCTGATATTCTAGAACTAGAGGGCAAAATAGAAATTGAAAGAATCCATCAATTACCACCTGAAAGATATCCTAAAATGAAAACTCCCAGGAATATTACAGGCAAATTCCAGAGCTCCCAGGTCAAGGAGAAAATAATGTAAGCAGCCAGAAAGAAACAATTCAAGATGGTAGAGCCACAGTCAGGATAACACAAGATTTAGCAGCTTCTACATTAAAGGATCAGAGGGCTTGGAATATGAAATTCTGTAGGACAAAGGAGCTAGGATTACAACCAAGAATCACCTACCCAGCAAAACTGAGTATAATCCTTCATGGGGGAAAATGGATATTCAATGAAATAGAGGACTGTCAAGCATTCTTGATGAAAAGACTAAAGCTGAATAGAAAATTTTACTTTCAAATACAAGACTCAAAAGAAGCATAAAAAAGTAAACAGGAAATGGAAATCATAAGGAAATTAATAAGGTTAAACTGTTTATATTCCTATATGGGAAGATGATACTTGTAATTCATAAGAACCTTTTCACTATTAGGGCAGTTAGAAGGAATGTATATAGACAGAGGGCACAGGTGTGAGTTGAATATGAAGGGATGATATCTACAAAACATAAAATGAAAGGGTGAGAGAGAAATGTACTAGAAGAATGAGAAAGGGAGAAGTAGAATAGGGTAAATTATCTCACCTAAAAGAGGCAAGAAAAAGATTTAACAGTATAGGGGAAGAGGGGGGTGAGGGGGAGTGAGTGAACCTTGCTGTCATCAGAATTGTCTCAAAGAGGCAATAACATACACACTTACATCTTACCCTACAGGAAAGTAGGATGGGAAGGGGATAAGAGAAGCAGGTGCGATATATGGGAAGGCATATTAGGGGAAGGAATTGTCAGAAGCAAAACACTTTTGAGAAGGGACAGGGTGAAGAGAGAGAGAATAAATTAAAAAGGGAAGGAATAGGATGCAGTGAAATACAGTTAGCAATTGTAATTGTGGAAAAAATGTTGAAGCAAGTTTCTCTGATAAAGGCCTCATTTCTCAAACATATAGAGAACTGAGTCAAATTTATAAAAATAACAGGCATTCACCAATTGATAAATGATCAAAAGATATGAACAGTTTTCAGATGAGGTAATCAAAGCTATCTACAGCCATAAGAAAAAAAATGCTCTCACTACTGATTAGAGAACGTAAATTAAAACAATTCTGAGGTACTACTTCATACCTATTAGATTGGCTAATAGGACAGAAAAGGAAAATAACTAATGTTGGAGGGGATGTGAGAAAAATGAGACATTAATGCATTGTTGGTGGAGTTGTGAACCGATTCAACCATCCTATAGAGCAATTAACCTTTGACCTAGCAATACCACTACCAGGTCTGTATCCCAAAAGAGATAAAAAACAAAAAGGAAAAGGACTTTTGTGTATGAAAATATTTATAGTGGCTCTTTTCTGGGGGCAGAGAATTAGAAATTGAGGGGATGCCCATCAATTAGGGAATGGCTGAACAAACTATGGTATGTGATTATGATGGAATACTATTGTGCTGTAAGAAATGATAAGCAGGATGCTCTGAGAAAAACCTGGAAAGACATTAGCTGATGAAAAGTGAAATGTACTGTGTACAAAGTAACAGCAATATTGTAAGATGATCAGCTGTGAATAACAGCTATTCTCAGCAATATAATGATTTGAAGGACTTAGGATAAAAAATGCTATCCATCACCAAAGAAAGAGCTGATAGTGTCTGAATACAGATTGAAGCACATTTTTTTTTTACTTTATTTTTCTTGAGTTTTTTTTTTTGATCTATGATATGGAAATATTTTGCATGACTACACATGTATAACCTATATGGAATTGCTTGCCTTCTCAGTGGGGGGATGGGGGTGGGAAGGGAGAGAATTTGGAACTCAAAAGTTTTAAAAGTGAATGTTAAAAATTATTTTTTCATGTAACTGGGAGAAAAATACTAAATAAATTCCCCCCAAAATAAATAAGTAAATGGAATGACACTTGAGAGGAGACACTATTTTCCCTATTTGTATCCTCATTAGCACCTAACTGTATTTTGCACATAGTAAGCACCTTATAAGGCCTTTTTCATTCATTCACTCATGGCTCTTTCCATTTACATTGTTGTAGTCACACTGTATGTTGTTTCTCTCCTATTTACTTCATTCTGTTTCAATTAATACATACTTCTTTGCAATTCATCATATTCATCATTTCTTACAGCACAATAATATTCCACTGTCTTCATTACCGCAATTTGTTTAGCCATTCCCTTATAGATAGGCATCTACTTTGTGTCCAGTTTTTTGCTATCACAAAAAGTGCTGCTATAAATGTTTACTGTTTCCGGGACCTTTCTTTGCATTATTGACCTCTTTGGGGCATATGCCTAGCACTAGAATCCCTGGGACAAAGAGCTACTTTCTCTTTTCCAAATTTCCAAATTGATGGCATATCACATCTCCATTAGCAGTGCATTAGTGTACCTGTATAAAATAATTTTTACTTCTGTGTTTGTGTGTGACTAGCAACATAAAGTAACCTCCAAAAAAGAGAAAGGCTATCTTGTTTTTGTTTGCATTCTCCTATTAGCCCCTAGCACTGTGTTTGGCCCAAAGTAGGACTTAAATACTTGCAAAATTGAGTGACTCACAACATACTGGATAACTCACTTAAAAAATATCTTTTTCCACTTCCATTCTGTCTCCCTCCCAATTTCTTCTAGTTATGTAGTATCTTGTCCTCTAGTATTTCTTCCATGGCATCCTCAGACCTAGGCCAAATGCAAGACTGAAAATTGTCTCTCCAGGGCCTCTGCTTTTTTCCCTCTGACTTTAGTGGGCTCTCTCTCTCTTCTGTTCTTCTTTCCCCTCCTCTCTTTCCTTTCTCCTTTCTTTTTTTCTTCTCCCCCCCCTCCTCTTTCCTCTCTCTTTCCTTTTCTCTCTCTCCTTTCTTTCCTTTCTTCTCTTTCTCTTTTCTTTTCCCCCCCTTTCCTTTCTTCTCTTTCTCCTTTCTCTTCCTCTCCCCCTCTCCTCTTTCCCCCCCCTTTCCTTTCCTCTCTCTCCCCTCTCTTTCCCCCCTCTTTCCTTCCTCTCTTTCTCTCTGTCTCTCTCTCTCTCTCCTCCCCCCCTTTCTCTGTCGCTCTTTCGCTCTCTCTGCCTCTCTCCTCCCAGGGTGAGCATCCATCCTGGACAAGGACAGCGGCCCTGGGAAACTTCTCCGTGGCCTGGGCAGCGCGGCGCCCGGAGCCCAGGCGGGGCACTGTCCCTCCCCGCCGCTGGCAGCCAGGGAGCCTCGGGCACGCCGGCGCGGAGCTGCGGTGGCCGGGCTCGGGCATTAGGAGGAGCACTGAGATGACTTCGCTTTCTTTCCCCTTCCCTCCTCCCACTCCTCCCTCGCTGGCTCTCCGCTCTTCTCTCGGGCGGCAGCACACACACGCACACACACACACAAGCACACACCGCGGTGTGTCAAAGCCCACGTGTTTCCAGCCCGAGAGAGCAAGCGAGCCAGCGAGAGGCCGGCCAGACGCACGCAGCGAGCCGGTGGAGGAGGCGGAGGAGGTGGTGATGATGGTGGCGGCGGCGGGGGGGTCCCCGGCTCACAGAAGAGAGAGCTCCGGGCCCCAAGCGCTGGAGACTCCCGGGCCCAGCCCTCCCGGGGCGGCGGCGGCGGCGGCCCGGTGACAGCGGCCCGCGCCGGGCACGGGACCCGCGGCTTCCCGCAGCTGCAGCGACGCCCGAGCCGAGCGAGCCCCCCACGCATCCCCGCGGAGGAAGAGGAGGTGGAAGAGGAGGAGGAGGAGAAAGAGGGGACCCGCGGCTGCCGGCGGC